AAAAAATAAGGACAGGTGATACTTTGGGGTGCTTACCATGTGCTGGATGGTGTTCTAAGAATTTAACATAACATTTAATCCTCACAACTCTATATAATAGATATTATTTTCATCTCTTTTATAGGTGAGAAAACAGAGAAAGAAAGAGGTTAAGGGACCTTCCCAAGACCACACCTTAGTGAAGACAGGCCTCAAACCAGACAGTCTGAGTTCCGAATCACTGTTTTAACTATGATTAACTATGCTACATGCCATAGGTTCTCAGTAATCATAAGATCAGAGAAAGCATAAAGAATTTTGACTGGAGAATTTTCCTGTGTGAAATTCTATTTTCTTCTATCTAGTTACCCTCATTTATGTTCTGGGATTCCTGAGAAAAGGTGCTGTGGGAAGAATAATTTACATGAAAGGAATTCCAGGAATAATTTTTATGAAGGTAGTGTTTTACCGTCCCGCATTCACTTGACAAAGTTCTATCTTCATTAATATCTGCTTAGAGTAATTTGCTCTTCTAATTAGGTTTAAAAATATTTGGAGAAAAATTACAAGAGTTTTACATAAATCATAAAAATGTAATTGTCTCCTGTCTGCTCTAAGAGAGACATTTCATTAAGTGCTGAATTATGGAACTTAAAATGATAGCAGAGGCGTTTTTTCCTTTATGTTTTCTCATGTATATGTTTTCACATTGTTGTCACTAGTGCTTGATTTAAGGTAGATTATAGTACTTTTTTAGTTATTCCATTATCATCTTGAGTATGTATAGTAAACCTAACATTTTAATGAGATGGCAATAGTTTAAGATCAGGCACTACATGTTCCAAATTATAATGGGTCTGGATTTCTTTTTGGCAACCATCCTTTTTCCATCAATTCTGAAATCAAGTGTGTACTATCTAGTAGGGTTATAAGCTCCAAGACACATAAAACGACCATCCCTATACCAAAAATATCAGAAATCATTTTATACAATGTCTACAGCCAGGCCATTGATAATTTTGGACACAGTGAGCCTTCTCTTAGTTTCTCCCTAAAAATGTTATTATCTGCTTTTAATACATTTGTCTTTAGTTAGAGTTCATTGCATTGCTTGGCTGTAAAAAGAAAATAAAAGAACCTTTTAGATAGATTATTGGATTTATTGGTCTAAGTAAATCCACTTTGGAATAATAAAAACCTTACTGAGTCATTAAAGACTGAAATATGGTATATTTGTTTTTACAATTTTACCTCGTGTGCTTCACGCTACATGGAAATTTTTAGAACTTCATAAACTTTCTCACCTTGAAATAACTATGCTTTCAGCTATAAAACGGGTTGACTTCTATCCAGAATGTCTCAAGCATGTCAACAACCTTAAACTCCTGTGACATTTCTCTTTTTGTAAGCAGGAAGTAATCACAACTCAAATACATTCTCAACCCAACTTAATCATTGGGGGAATTGAGAAACTTATTCTTCTCTGAGAAATAAATGCCAAAATGTCCATGAACTGTGGAAAACCACTAAAACTAATTTCTATTGCTTCTATGTAGTCATTTGGAAGGAAGACCTGGGTTCAAGTTTCATTTCTGCCCCTTATCCTGTGATCTTATAAAAGTCATGCTTTTCTTTTTTAACTTTTTTAGGTTCGATTTCTTTCCCTGCATTAGTAAATTTGGGGTTAAAGTAGTACCTACCTTGGAGAGTTTTAATGAGGATTAAATGAAGTGTTTAGTGTGGTGCCTAGGATATACTAACAGCCCATCGTGAAAGATATCATTAATATTTCTACTCCATTATTTTATCTTACCCTTCATGATATTCAGTTTTTCATGCATACATAATAAGATGGAGAGGAATATTGTCTCTCCAAATGAAAGCACTTTACTTGAAGGTCTCAGGAAGCCAGGCGCTAAGCAAAGAACATGTAAGTTCTTGATTTCTAGGCACTGTCACTCTATAAGACATCAATATAACACACGATTCAATATGCAGACATTGCTCCAAGTGGATTTCAGCATATGTCGCATTATAAATTAACCCTGCTCACAGAAATAAAAGGATCATAAGAAAATACTGTGAACATTTATATGTCAACCAATTAGATAATCTAGATGAAATGGACAAATTTCTAGAAACATGAATTATCAAAACTGGCCAAGAAGAAGTAGAAGATCTAAGTAGATCTATAACCAGTAATGAGATTGACTCAGTAATCAAAAACCACCAAACAAAGAAAAGTCCAGGACTAAATTGTTTCACTGGTAAACTCTATCAAACATTTAAAGACGAATTAACACCAACCTGTCTCAACCAATCCTAAAAACAGAAGAGAACAATACTCAACTTATTTTTTGAAGCCAGTATTACCCTGATACAAAAGCCAGAAAAAGATACCACAAGAAAAGAAAACTGAAAGCCAATAACCCTTATGCATATAGATGTAAAAATGCTATAGAAAATACTAGTAAACTGAATCCAGTAGCATATTAAAGGGATTATACACCATGTCCAAGTGAAATTTATCCCAGGAACACAAGGGTGGTTCAAAATTCAAAAATTAATCAGTGTAATACAGCACAGAATACTACATCCATAGAATGAGGGGGAAAACCACATGATCATCTCCACTGATGCAGAAAAGCATTTGACAAAATGCAACACCTTTTCATGGTTAAAAACACTCAGCAAACTAGGAATAGAAGGGAGCTTTATCAACATAATACAGGACATTTATGAAAAAAACCTATAGCTAACATCATATTTGTCATGGACTGAACTGTGTCCCCTCAAAATTCATATGTTGAAGCCCTAATTCCCAATGTGACTGTATTTGGAGAGAGGGCCTATAAAGAAATAATTAAGATTAAATGATATTTTTTGGGAAAAGGAGAACAAAGTTGGAGAGTTCACACTTACCAATTTTGAAACTTACTACCAAGCTATAGTAATCAAATCATTGTAGAACTAGTATCAGAATAAAAATACAGGAATACAGAACAGTGGAATAGACTTGAAAACCCATAAATACACCCATGCTTCCATGACCAGTTGATTTTAGACAAAGATGACCAGACCTATCAATGAGGAAAAAATAATTTTTTCAACAAGTAGTGCTGGAATAACTGGATAGCCACATGCAAAAGTCTGAAGTTGGACGTCTACTTCATGCTATATACAAAAATTAGCTCAAAATGGAACAAAATCTAAATATAAGAGCTAAAACGCTGAAACTCTTAGAGGAACCCATAGGAATAAGTCTTCCTGACCTTGGATTTGGCAAAGGATTCTTAGATATGACACTAAAGACATGACTAACATAACAAAAACCAGATAAATTGGATTTTATCAAAATTTAAAACTTCTGTGCAGCAAAGGATATTATCAAGAGAGTGAAAAGAGAACCTACATGATGGGAAAAATATTTGAAAATATGATAAGGGTCCAGTATAGAGAATATATAATGAACTCTTACAATGTAACAATAAAAAGACAAACAACCCAACTAAAAAATGGGTGAAGGATGTGAATAGGTGTTTCTCCAAAGAGGATATACAAATGGCCAACAAGCACAAGAAAACACGCTCAGCATCATTAGTCATCAGGGAAATGCAAATCAAAACCACAATGAGATTTCACTTCACAGCCATTAGGATAGACGTAATTTTTTTAAAAAGAGGAATATAAGTGTTGGCGAGGATGTGAAGAAATTGGAACCCTCAGACTTTGCCAGTAGAATGTAGAATGACGCAGCCACTGTAGAAAAGTTTGATGATTTCTCAAAAAGTCTAACACAGAATTAATATATGACCCAGCAAATCCACTCTAGGGTATATAGCCAGCATACTGAAAACAGGTGTTCAGACAAAAATTTGTACACAGATGTTCATAGCAGCACTATTCATAATAGCTAAAGTGTGGAAACCACGCAAATGTCCATCAACGGATGAACAAATAAAAAAACTGTGGTATACACATACAAAGAAATCTTAGCTTTTCTCCTGGGGAGTCTGCCCACAAAAAAAACAAGTATTCCTCAAAGTCCTGGATGAATTTTGATATGTGTGATGCCAACTTACAAAATACATTATCGAAATCTGACTTATATGCCAGCTGTTTAGAATCCAGAAAGCATTTCCCAGAGAAATAGTGCTTTAAATTATTGATATAATCATGGTCCAGCCCTAAAATTCTATTTAAACAATGTAGACACATAATAACTGTTAGTCGTCTATTGCGACACAACAAACCACCCCAAAAAACATAGTGAGTAAGAACAAACATTTTATTATTTCTCTCAATTCTATGAGCTTACTGGGTTTTCTACTTCAAGTGATGTGCTGTTATCTAGAGGCTGGATGGGCGGAAATGGCCAAAATGGGCACTCACATCTTTGGCGGGATGCTGGCTCTTGACATTCAGCTGGTAAACAGCCAAGGCACTTACACATGGCCTTTCATTAGACTTGGGCTTCTCATAGCATGGCTGTTGGTCCCAAGAGGGAGCATCCCAAGAGACAGAAAGGAGAAGCTATAAGGCCATTGAGGGCTACACCCAAAAGTGGCAAAACGTCACTTCAGCTGTATTCTATTAGGGAAAGCAGTCACAGAGCCCACTAAGATTCAAGGGAGTAGAGAAATAAACTCTATCCGTTGGGAGAAAGTCACATTTCAAAAGAGAATGTGGGATGGAAGTCCCTTGTGTGGCCATCTTTGGAAAATACAGTCTGCCACTCCAGCTATCTACTAATACATCCATAAATTTACCATTGCATAAGGATAGCCATGATGCATTGTACTAAGATCAGGAACCTTAAGGCTTTACACCCGGCTCTACTTAATTTCTCTAAATTTTAGTAACCTCTGGTAAAACATGGGATGTTATAACAATATAAAAACTGCTTGTTTAACAGCTACCATGTGCCAGGTTCTTTTGAAGTGATTTAGGCTCATTTATGTATTTAATCCTAATGACAGCTCTATGAGGTAAATTCTTTTATTATTCCTATTTTAGGTATCGGAAACTGAAATTAAAAGGAATCAAAGAACGTTCCCAAGGTTACATAATCAATGTGACAAAGCTGGAATTTTTCAATGTGCTCACAAGGACTAAATCAGGTAATGTATATAACTATAGGATGAAAGGTCAAGTCATCCTCATTATTTATAACTATCTAATTCATAACGCTCTTTCAAAATTAAACACATCTTCATTGTGTGATATTGCCAACACGCAGAAGAGTTAGGAAACCATATGACATAGTTACATAAAGAACTAGCATATCCATCTTGTTTAGTAATTGTCTGAAATGTTAGGAGCTCACTGTTATTATTATAATAGTCTCCTGTTTATACAAAAATGATAGTCCTTGGTACATCATGACGTTTGAATTAATCATTTTGAGATTACATATAAAAATTCCCTCACAATCTGGACACCTTTCTCTGCCACTTCACAGCCCAGGAGAATGTAAAGTGTAGAGGGAACTGCCCAATTTCAAACTTTGGGAAGTGTGCTTTGCCCATAATCATACTGGTGTCTACCTTTTAAATATTTAGTATTGGAACTAATCTGGGGAGTACGGTGAAGAAAATAATCCCTTAGGCTGTTCTAAGAAACAAGAAACTAAAGAGAAACCCAGATCTGAGTGGGTACATGGGAGACAAAGAAATTATGTTAAAGAAATAAACTATCCTCACGTCAAGACCAAGTGTTTTTGAAAGGGGTGATTTGCCAAGTTAGAGGAGATAAACTTTTACACAACAAGGGGGCTTTTTGTAGTCTCTCTATATTTAGGAGAAGCTAGAATGTACATCTCAGTACATTCCTCGGTCCCCATGACCCAGGACGAGTCCTAGTTATCCTTGAGTGATTATTAGTAGCACACCTTTTCACTGAAAAGTGCCCCAATTTGGACAGTAAATTACATGGTCACTGTACCTAGCTTTAGTTAATGGAATTACCATCCTTTCAGTCATCCAGAAACCTGTTTTACTTTATGATCTCTTTGGCTTTCATTCATTCATTCAGCAAGCATCTACTCACAGCCTAGGAGGTGCCATTCTTTGTCCTTGGGACTAAGGACACTAAGATAAATGTAACATAGTTTCTGTTCTCAACAAGCTTATACTTGCTGGAGACACAGTCATGTAAATATATTATTAAAAATAATGTATTGTCAGTGAAACAATAGAAATACATGTATTATATTGTAGGGGAATAAATGAGGACATATCAAGGAAATCTCAGAAGAGGGGAATCTTGAATTGAGCCTTAAAGGATCACCGAACCAGGTGAGCAGAGGAAAGCCTTAGGATATCAGCAACAGAGAGAGTGACACAGGCAAAGACACGGAGATGGTATTAATTTTCTATTGCCTCACAGCAAATTACCACACGCCTAGTCGCCTTAAATGTTGTACATTAATTATATCACAGTTTCTGTAGGTGGCAAGTCTGGGCACAGCTGGTTGGATTCTTTGCCCAGGGGCTGAAATCAAGGTGTCAGTCAAGGCTACAGTTCTGTCTGAGACTTGGGTTCTTCTTCCAAGTTCACTGGTTGTTGGCAGAATTCACCTCCTTACAGCTGTGAGACTGGGTCCACGTTTCCTTCTAGCTATTGGCGGGAGACCACTCTCAGCAACTAGAGGCCACCCTTAATTTCTTGCCACATGGGTACGTCACAGCCAGAATGTTGCTTTCTTCCAGTCTAGAAAGTGTCTCTCTCTAACTTCTTAGTTTGTGATCTACTGGAGAAAATTCCTTGCTTTGAAAGGGCTCATGTGATTAAATCAAACTTACCAGATAACCTTCCTATTTTAAGGGCAACAGATTTGAGACCTTAACTACACCACAAAATCTCTTCATAGCAGGAACTAGATTAGTGTTTGATTAAAGACCTAGGAGAAGGTATGTGTATACCAGGGGGCGGGGATCAGGGTGGAGGTGGAGAGTTAGAATTCTGGGTACCGCAGAGAAGTAGCATGGCCTGTTTGTGAGGAGAAATCCCAAAGAGCTTAGCATTGTGGGACCCTAGCATTTCAGACTTTATCAGTGTTTGTCAAAGCGTGGACTATAGCCCTCTTGCTTAAGAGTCACCTGTTGTGCTTGTTGAAAACACAGATTAGAATCTTAAACATATACTTATTTATATAATAAAGATTCAAGGTCACAGAATTGAGTTGATTATAATCCTCAGTCCCTGGCATGCTATCATTTGTAATTTACAAGGCCCCTCTTTTGTTTTATATTGATTCTTCCTCTTCATCCCCATTCTCATTCCTATTCCCAAGTCCCGCAAATATGGTGACCCTAGTATACTTAATATTGTCCTGCTAATCTGCCTTCTATGTGGTCCTTAAGTATATGCGCCTCCTTGAAAAATAAACAATGTCGTTGTGTATGTGTGTGTTTTATTAGGTTTTTCATGTATGACATTGTGCTGTAAATCTCCTTCGAGTCCTTTTTATTCCGGTAGTCACGTTTACTTAGTGACTGCCACAAAATGTTCTGTCCTATTCAGAATCACAATTTGCTCATCGACTCCTCGGGATGGAGATCTGGACTGCTTCCAACTTCTTGTCAACACACCTTTCGTCCTCTTAGGGAGCTCTGTGAGAATTTCTCAGGGCTACACATCCAGGAATGCAATTGCTGTATTATTGGGTTAACATATACTTAATTTCCTTAAGTGCTATCAGATTTGTCTCCAGAAATCTTGGTCTAATTCAGCCTCCCATCAAAAATGCTTGAAGGGGGCTTCCCGGGGGCTTCCCTGGTGGTGCAGTGGTTGAGAGTCCGCCTGCCGATGCAGGGGACACGGGTTCGGGACACGGGTTCGTGCCCCGGTCCGGGAAGATCCCACATGCCGCGGAGCGGCTGGGCCCGTGAGCCATGGCCGCTGAGCCTGCGCATCCAGAGCCTGTGCTCCGCAACGGGAGAGGCCACAACAGTGAGAGGCCCGCGTACCAGAAAAAAAAAAAAAAAAAAATGCTTGAAGGCTTTCGTTTCCCTATATATTTCCCTATAGTAGGTGCTTTCAAAAATCCTTTTTTTTTTTTTTTTTTTTTGCCATTGTAGTAGGGTTAAAAAGTTATCTGGTTAGTTGAAGTACATTTATCTGATTCCTACTGAGGCTGAATATTTCTTCATGTTCTTTTTTCAGTATTTTGGGTACTTTTTTTTCTTGCTGTTTTACAGGAAATGATTGTATATTCTAGCTTTTAAATCATGGCCAGTGTTAGAGATTGCAAATACCTTATTCAGTCACCTGCAAATACCTTATTCAGTCACCTAGCTGTTAATTCTGGTTTTGATATTTTTTTTGAATAGAATCTATACTTTTGATATTATCAAATTCCTTATCTTTTACATTATGTTTACTTATGGTCCAAGAATTATAATACACTCAACTTCCTCTGCTCTTACATTTCACATTTAGCCCTACAATTCATTTGCAGTAATATAGGGTATGAGATAGGAATCTGACTTTATCTGTGTCCCATACTGTGAACTAATTATTCCTTATCATTTACTGAATCATTTCTCATTTCTGAAACTTCTGTAACATCATCTTTATCACGTTGTCATATATAATAAGCTTGAATCTGAGCTCTGTTTTGTTCAGTGGGTCTACTTGACAGTTGCTGGGCTAAAACCAGTTTTGTTTTGTTTTTTTTAAGTATGATAGTTTCGTAGCATGTCAATAACTGATAGAGAAATCTTCCTTCTTTGCTGATTTTTTTTTCAAAAATTGCCTTGGAATTTTATTCATATGCATCTTAGAATTGGTTTGTAAGTTTCAAAAACAAACATACAAATCCTGTTAATATTTGATTGTATTGCTCATATGCAGTAATTAAGGAAATGCTTTATTAGAGATATTTTAATTTTATAATACAGGGCTTGTGAATTTTTAGGTTTATTCCTAGACATTTTTGGTCATTGTTCTTTTAAGTTTTAGTTTCTTGCTCCTGTGACTTGCATCTTGTTTCCTACTGTGAATTTCTGATGTAAATAAATGCTAATGATTTTTCTTTGCTTATCCAGTAACATTGCTGAACTCCTTTATACTCTCTTTGTAAAAATTCATATGTTTAGAAGAGCAATTAAGGGCTATTTCAGAAAATAAACGCCTAAGGAGAGAAAATGTACTGAGCTAGTTACACAATGACCTGGATAACAGATGCCTTTGATAGGAAAAAGAGAAAATGTATCAGATTACAAAACGGTTTGCCAAAACTTGCCACACAAATATCATTTTTTCAATATTATTATTTTAGATGCCATTATAAAATAAAATTAATATGTTGCTATAACACAAGATTCTATAACACATTGTGTATTTACTTTGTATGCTGTTACTTTTTTAGAAAAAATGCGTAATACCATATATACTTCTGCTTTTTCATTTATAATGTGAACATTTTCACTTTATTGATTTTTTTTAAAAATATGGTCTTTAGGGGTTTAAGCATTTTCTTTCTACAGTTACATTTATTGCATTATATACATATATATATATATATATATATATACACACACACACACACAGCAGGACAGTGAACAAATTATTATTCTACAGTTCAACAAATGTTCATGAAGTGAAAACACTGATATACCCAGCAGCCGGACTAAGAAACACCCAAAAACAGCATAATTTTGAATGTTTAAGTTGTTTCCAATTTCCCCACACATAAAACTTTATTTACAATTGTGATTTTATTTCCTTTGGAAAGATTCCTAGAAATTGAATTACTGGTTAAATAACATGAGAATTTTTAAAGTTCTCTATACATATTGGTAAATGCCTTTTGGGAAAGATAAAATCATTTCGTAGATCCAATAAATGAGTCCATGGAAGAGCATCTGTACCAGTGTAGAAGACTGTTAAAAAAAAATCTCACTATTGCTTCAATTGTTTTTACTAAAAATAATTGTACTTTTTGACATCTCTTACCCTGTGTATTATCTCTCCTCTGGTCTTTTTTTTTTTTTTTTTCCTTGCTGGAGTGTTACCGATTTTTAAATTAAAATTTAAAATAGTTTACATTCTACAAATGTTAGCCTTGGGTAATATTTGTTACAAGTAATTTTCTACTTCTGACTATTGCTTTTCAATTTCTACATGTTTTAAATATACTTTTAATTTTTTGAAGATATACATGCAAATAATTTAGGGTTAAGTGATTCTAGAAAGCTTAATCATACTATCCTCTATCATCTGTTTTTCTATTTATCAATCAATCTATCTATCTATCACCTATCTTATCTACCTGTCATCTATGTCTGTCTATATCTCGGTCTCCCACTACAAATGTCTTTACTCTAAGAGGGATTAAAATTTTCTTTCTTTCTTTTGGCATTCATATTCATATCTCTAAATAGCATACTTCTATGTCTTCAATTTTTTAAGTGTCAGTCATTACCTTTTGACTCTTTATTATGAAAGATGAAGATTTAGCCCTCTTTACCTCCTTACCACCCACCATCCACAAACATACTACCCATCTGTCTAATGGCAATACAATGACAGTATTTCTCAGGCCAGTATTCAATGTCTACATCATGACTGTGCAATGGTATCATAGCTAAACCATAGCTATGATATGATTCATTTTACTCTTCATTAGGACTCTTCATTTCCCTCGGAGTTTTAATAATTTCTTGCTTTTTGTTTACTTACCTCTTATACATTTTCATGTCTAATTCTTTCCCAAATGCTCTCTAAATTGCATACATACATTTACAAGGGGTAAAGGGAACGGTTTCTTAGCATTCAATCGTATACATCCCTAATCTACCTATTTTCAGCATAATAATCCTGCCTAGGATTGTACCTGATATCCTCCAACCTAGAAAACATCTGTTTTGCTCTTTTCAGAGACTATGGCTCCAGCTTTCTGCCAGGTTGAAAAAGGGGAGTCTCCCAGCTGCTTTTCATGGGGGCAGTGATTAGGGATGGAGGTAACTGCTTTCCAGACAGAACTTCACATCATTCCTAGCTTGTGTGAACAAAGAATGTCACCCGCCACAAGAGTAAACAAAGGATGTTGCTGCCATCGAGTCATCAGGCACTGCAACCACGCCCCTACTGTACACCCCGAAGGGATTCAGAATGGAGAACACAGGATATTGGCTCTAGATAGTTAAGGTGTATATCAAAGGAATGATTTCAATAAGCCCAGACTCTTGCATCTTCCTATACAAAGAAAAGTGCTAAATACATTAAGATGTCTAGTTCTCGTTTAACTAACAGTCATCTTTTGACGTTCCATCTACCTTATAGTTGTTGC